GTATCACTTTTATTTGAAAATTTAACACAATGATTTAATAATTTATTTAGTGATTAAACTACATACTGTGCTGTTGTAGAAAATTAAATTACGTTTAATAAAAAATAAAAAACAAAATTATAAATTAATTTAAAGTGCCATGCTGAATGGGAATCACCGCGGCCATGGTAGGCTATGCTAATATCGAGTGCTGAAAATGCAAGTTTGTTAATGTATGACTGCGCATGCGTTGTTTCATTTACGTAAATATATCGTTTACCGGTACTGATTTGTTTATGACGACGTAAATATATCCACTTCCATTAAATAAAGTGTAGTATTTTATGCTTGAGAAACAGCAAACAGCTTTGAATTGTAATGCACTCCATCATGATGGAATTCAGTATTTTGACAATGACATTATGTTCTGGTGTATATATGGACAGCCTAGGCCCCCTAGGCTTGGTTCGGGGTGAGAAGGGCCTGCCAGCCAGGTTCAACTACCCAGGTCTTTAGCATGTGGGCTCCATGTAGAAAAATATGGGTATGCCAATATGTATTTTCCCAGATATTTGGCACATGGAACCCATGTGGATTAAATCTGGGCATTCCCATAATTATATGCCCAGTTATTTGGCATATGGGTCACATGCATATTAAATATGGGCATGCCCATATGTAACTGATTAAATATGGGCATGCCCATATGTAACTGCCCACATATTTGGCACATGGGCTCCATTTGGATTAAATATGGGCTTCCCATATTTACTTGCCCATGTATTTGGCATATGGGTCCCATGATTATGTGTGGGCATGCCCATAAGTTTTTTCCCAGATATTTGGCACATGGGCCCAATACGAAATTAATATGGGCATACCCATATTCAACTACCCAGGTCTTCGGCATGTGGGCCCCATGTAGATAAATATGGGCATGCCCATATGTATTTTCCCAGATATTTGGCACATGGGCCCCATGCGGATTAAATGTGGGCATTTCCATATTTATCTGCCCAGGTATTTACCATATGGGGCCCATGTACTTTAAATATGGGCATTCCCATATATATTTGCCTATATATTTGGCATATGGGCTCCATATGGGTAAACCATGGGCAACGTCCATATGTGATTGCCCAGACGGATCCCATAAGGGAAAAATATGGGGTAGCCCAAAAGACTTTTCACAGATATTTTGCATATGGGCCCCATGTGGGATTGTTACCTGGGTTTATAACTTGTTTTGCAAAATTATTTTTTTAAAGATTGTCCCCACTATGCTCCTGTGACCCCCTTGTATTTTCCTTTTTAAAAAATCTAAAAATACCTTTTTATGTTGAAAGAAAAGAACCAAACTTTCAGCCTAAATTTCCATAACCAAACCCCCTCCTCCCCCTTTTCATTACAGAATGACTCATTTGACCTCGTATGGGTTTTATATAGCTATATCTTCTTTAATAATGATGATGAACAGTTGTAATTTGCTACATAGACTGATATTTGGAAATATTAACATTTTGATAGCATTTTTTAGTAAATTGTTGGATGTCCCATATCAGTCTAAGTAGTAGTGTGAACTGATTTAAAAAAAGATGTCCTTCAAAGTATCAGGTCAAAATCAAATCCGATAGAATTCAGTATTTTCTAAACAAGGTATAAAAAGAAAGTCTCGCCTAAGGAACAAATGTTTGTTATAATTCGATGCCTAAGAGTTTGCACAGATATGTAAGAAAAACATCTACAGCGTTTTTTTAGGCCCTTATAAAGAACATTCTCAGTACAGTACTGTACTCGTCTGTTTGATATCTTGTGATTGATTACCAACTGAGTCTAAATTACTCAAGGAAGATTGTACATTAGAAACCCTCATTTACGAACCCCGATTTAACAAATTCCAGATTTTATGAACGTAAAATAAAGGTGATGACGTCATAAAAATTTATCTGTAAGATTAAAAAAAAAATCTGCTCGAATTGTAACTGTTATTAGCATGCATACAACAACACACCATACTATACTATACAGTAATATGTAATTCTCACGTGAAGGAGGCCCTCTAACTGGCCTTTTCAAAGTCAGTGTTTTTTATGGCTTCACACATGTGCATGCAAAAAATTTTACTTCTCTTTCAAACATCGTTTTCAGCTTTAAAATTTAACATTGTGCTTGATTGTTTTATTGAATGATCAATATATATAATAAACAATATATAATAAACACGTATCTATGGAAGTTGTGTTGGGAGTAAAATCCACAATCTAGGTATTTAAGAAGGTAAAAATGTCCCAGTATAGTACCAGTGGAAATACATAGGAATTTGGGTCAACCCCGATTTTACGAATTCCCACATTTACGAACGGCTCTGGGCCCGTGCCGTACATAAATGAGGGGTTCTACTGTACATCCCTTTTCAATATCTTTTTAAAATCGAACCATGGCATTATTAATATAATATTATTATTAATAATAATAATAACAATAATAATAATAATAACTATATCTATATAGCGCCTGATCACAGATCACATAGGCGCTTTACATAAATTTTAATCTATTCATTTTTTCCAAGTCTGCTAATAAGACCTTCAATAGCTTCTGTTTTGAATGGTTTTTCGCCCCTTCCAATTGAGTTTCTTGCCAAAACTGGGATTTTGATTGCTGATTGTTCTGTTTCTGATCCTGGAGGGTAATAAAATCAGAATTATATAAATATTAAAATCATTTTCAGCTAACTGTTCATATTCACATACAGTAGATGTTCGAAATTGTATGTTACATTTTTATTGAGGCTTATTTGGCCACTGCAACTTACCACTTTTATGCATGTCCAAAGTAGCATTCAACAGGTCTGTCCGAAATGTAAATTCCTTTGGATCATTGATTTTTTTAACTACAAATTGATGGCTTGCTTTGGACCGCTGTAATTTCCACCTTTTTTCGCCACTAATAGTGGTTGCCTGTTTGCGGCCTACATTTGTGTTGTTATCCAATGCTGCTAAAACTGTCCTGGCAACTGTACCCTCGTAACGAAAAGCAATTCTTTTTGGAACATATTTCAGAAGGACGTTGTGAAATACCTCCAAGTCACCGGTGTGACAAAATTCTGTGATCTGAAAGTCAAAACAAGGAATGTATAATAACTTGGCAACTTGACATCTTAGGGTCATTGATAATTTTTCTTGTATGGCAATGGTAACCATAACAAAACAAAAAAATAAAATGTAACATTTCAAAAATTACCTTTTCCATGTCTCGAAGGAGTAGCTTATTTGTGACAATACCCTGAACTGCTTTATGTGAAGCAGACCCGGGTTTAAGCCATGCTGTTTTACGATCCTCTGTAAGTTTAGGGTGGTCACATTTATGGTACTTGGTAGCCACATTACATTCATGCTTGTCTACAATGTGACGTACTATGGACAACCAGCGTTCCTGAATGATTAACAGATTTGAATAATTTGTACTAAATTTATCTATCAATACTTACTGTATATAGACCTATTATTTTGTTTAATACACCATGATCACAGATTCATGAGTAATTAATTGAATGTAACATAGACTTGATAATTCTCCCAGCACTTTCACAATACTATAATAAAAATAACACCATAATAATGTCACTTGTATCAATCACATTTTGTTATTTAGTTTTGTAAGCTAACGAAGACCAGAAGACTGGTCGAAATTAAAAAAATAAAAATAAATAAGTGTTATATAGTTTACATGACTCGTCGTATTTTCTTGTTTCAAAACCTATTATAATTTCAATAAAACACGTAGATTTCAATATAAACTATAAGGAAAGACAGGTTTACCTTAAGTTCAATTGCATCTCCATTACATGAGTCAGAACACTACCAAAAATGATTTCCAATAGACTTTATCCATGGTTGTAGCTCGGCACACTCCCTTCTTTTGGCTGCTGCTGCACGTTTCTTCTTTATTGACTTAGACATGTGCCAGACATCATATTGATGGGAGATTGTTGAATATTCATCCTTCATCAATTTCGAAATCTGAGGATGCCTCTCTGTAGCTAGTGTTGTTACTGTAACATGTGCTTCCTAAAACAAAATTTAAAAACTAAAAGGGTTATGAATACTGTAAACATATTCATATTGAAATGCATTTGAAATAATCTACATAAATATATCTTACTTCCAGCTGATTAAGGCATCGTATCAAACCCTCTTTTTCCATTGAGTACGAGTTGTTTACTTCGGTAACCTTGACAACAGATGTAGCTAATACAGCATTTGTTTTGGTATCCATTAGCGAATATGTGCCAAATGCTGCTGAATGGCCAGGACTATCAGACCGTCCGTCCCCTGCCACAATCAGATCTGTGTTGCCTTCATATTCTGGAAGAATAATGTTATAATTAGCACAAGAGGTTAAAAGGTAATAAAGTAGACCTGAAGCAAAGTGTAAACATCATAACACCTATTAATTATATTACAAAATTGCATTTATATTATACCTGATAGCAGCTGTTGCTGTTGGCTGTTCCACATGGAATTGACAACTGGAAGTAAATACTTTCGTTGTATATAATAAAAATCGTTTTCACTGAAAAATTTTAATTTGAAGGTGTCAAAAAATTCTGCAGCAGTGGTGTAGGTGTTTCCTGAATATAAAATTGATGCTGCAAGTAACAGGTTGCCAATAGCCATCTTGTTAGAAAGTGGCTGCGACCTCCATTCAAAGTGGTGATTATGCAAGCAAGTTCCATTTACAATTACCAAACTACCTTTGTGGCGATAGTCAAGTTCAACCACAGGTGCAGCACACTGATTATCACCAAGACACTTGTTAAACAGTTGTTTTAACTGACTATTAAACACGACATACTTCATCTCGCTCACAAAGTTTACATTATGTTCTTCAATAAATTCATCTTCAGATTCTTCATTGTCTGTGTCAGCATCACTTGGATGAAATGATATATCATTATCATAATTAGACGAGATGCCACTAAACAAACTTCCAAAAGATGAATTGTGACCCCTTAGATATTTTTGGGTGGGGATTTGATGGAAAACCACTTGGTAGGCTATCATCCAGGGATGAACTTATTGGCTCGGTCTGTGTTGCAATTGACACATAAGTATTGGTTTTTTTATTAGAATGAAAGTGAATTATTCCATCAATACACTGGTGAATCTAAAAGGAAAATATTTAAGCATGCTTAGGTTGCTAGTTATTAGGTCGGGTAGGCACTTTAATAATACCATATCAGTAATATTACTTTCTGTAGTATAGAGTATGAGGTAAAGCAGTTTACTAAAATAAGGCCAAAAAAAATTGTTTGCCCTTTTTTTCTTTTTAATGATAGAGGCGGGTGGAAAAAGTTTTTTTTTAATTATTTTTTTTTTAAGATCGTCATCAGATGGAATAAAAATAACCCACAGAAGCTAGAATTGCAATATCTTGCATCAAACAACAATTTAATATATTTGTAAAAAAAAAAGTGTTTTGTGGTTTTTCCATCCCTATTTTTTTCAATGAGGAGGGCAAACCAACATTTTTTTGGCCTAACAGTCCTACCTGACCTAAGATACACATACTACAATTATTTTAAGAAATCCAACATGTGTGCAAGTCCATAAATTCAGACATTATATTATTTAATTTTCAAGTTCTAGAAAATTAATTTTTATCAAGAAAAAAAAGTATATTATGAAAACTTTTTGAGAATAATTTAAATGAACATTTAATTATAATATTGTAAGTCAGTACGTAATACTGTACTATTATCGTACGGTATTTTTTATTCAGTACAAAAATAATAAATTAAACGCTGAATCGGTCTGTATCAATTTGTAATATAATTTTATTGGAAACGCGCAGGAGAAGCGACAAACAACTTCATGCATATCATTTAAACGCTAGCACTCGGGGAGAACAGTCAGCGTCCTATGGAAGCGAGCTTTTCATGACGAACTTGTTTTTTAGGCCTATAGTATTTAATGCTGACGAAACAAAACAGGAATAACAATTATCTACGCCTCTTCTTAAGAAAACTATTTAGGCTAAAGGAAGGTTTTTCATCGTCTTATTGATCGACTAGGCCCCTAGTCAAAAATTGAGTATTTTTGAACTAGGATATTGCCTTGGTACTAGGTAGGCCAACAAGAGCACGAACCCATGCTGGAATATATTATTACGGGATTTAATACAACACTGGACATAATGAGGTAGGCTAAGTAAAATTTCATTTTGTTCTCAATAAACTTGAGATCAACAGAAAATATAAAAAAAAAAACAACCTAGATCTTAGGGCCTAGGCCTACCTACCTTTGTTTTTTGAGGTCTGCTGCTGCTGCTAGCCCCGGGCTTTCCTAGGCCTAGATATGTCGTGGGGGTAGATGAGGATGGCCTGGCATTCACTTCAGTCGCAGTTTTATGGTTAAATATTGTTGGAACAGCATCCTCATTTAGCTTATTTCGTCGTTGTTTTAATCCTAAAATTTCTGATCTGACATCTCGACTGAATGAACTCTGATCAAAATGAGAGCAGCAAATTCTGGAACCTTTTCTGACAGCTTTTGGATTTTCTAACTTCATTGCATTCAACCATTTTAACCGTTTCTGGTTTGCCAAAGGTAGCCTGTGATAACTTACATTAGGCCTAGGCCTAGTATTTTGATTTTTACATCCAGGCACAATACACAAATTTGGCATTGTGATTTTTTTTTTTTCAAGGAGCCTACCTTTTTAGGGCCTAAGCTAGGCCTTGGCGAGATGATATTATTAATTATGATGGACTTAAAAATTATTTTTTAACTTTTATATTTCGCCGATGAGATGTAGACGTTGCTGTTTCATGTATCCAGGGCGTTGTCAAGGAGTCGGTGATTACTAAATTTAGGCCTAGCGTAATTTCTTTATTCCCAAAAATGGGCCACAACCTTCTTTTTTGATAAAGAAATAAAAATAAAATAGGGCCTAGGCCTAGTTACAAAAAAAATTATATAAATAATCAGTTTCTAAACTTGCAGTATCTTCATTATTTATTATACAATCTCATAGAGGAATTTTTAATAATTTCATACAATACTAGTTGTAGACCTAAGCCTACACTTTCATAATACTGATTAGGCATAGGAGACTTGAGTGATAAACAAGAAGAGTACGTAACAGCAAAACACAGCAAAACACAGCAAGTAATGTATAGCGCCGCCAGCGGCAATACAATCTGGGGTTACTTTATTCGCCAATGACGTCATTGGCAAATTCGTAAATTACCTATAACTTTATAAAAAATTCCAAAATAAAGATAATAAAATTGATTCATTTTCTAATGAAATATGAAAAATCCCCTCAAAAACAAAAAATCATTTTGCGAGTTCTCTTTTAAGCGTTTGTCTGCTTCATGGTTTGAGTGTTGTAACTTCTTCTATAGTTGGTATAGGCATGGTATATCAGGTATATGCTATATAAATATATATTATTTCTACGTATGTACGTTATATTATGTTCCTTGATCTCTAAACTGTATTTAATAGTCATCATATCATGCGTCATATAATTTAAACATATACGTATAGCGTAACTACTATTATATTCCTACATCAATTTTCGAAAGTCTTAGTATTAAGCTGGCTCAAAAGCACCGACAATTTAATCTATCTCTTACATAATCAATGTATATATAAAGACAAATGCAATTTTCATATTAACAATAATAATTTTATACAATTAGTATTGTGATGAGCGATGAGGTTATTTTAATACGAACAGAGTATGTCACTAATTAATATTCAATTTCTAATTGAAGAAACTTGCGATATTGACTGCTTGAACGGCGGAGTCTGTGTCTCGGATTTGGGAATCGAGAACTGCCAGTGTATGCCTGGTTTTGTTGGACCAACTTGCAAGATATGTAAGTTTTTACAGCGATAATTAATGTGCATTACGTATTGAGCTAAATATAATAATAATAAACCTAATGTGCAGAACATGGTTGAAAATGTATACAACATGATCAGTTTCTGAAAAGATTGTAAATATTATGCATAAATGTAGGCTAATAGAATGAATATTAACAAATTAATGTCAACACCAGTTCTAAGTTTCAGTTAGCAACTGAGATAATGTATATCTCTTCTTCATCTATTATTTATTTTACTAATGATCTCAAAAAAGATCAATACTTAAATGATGCTGACTGGAATACAGTTTCTTGTCTACAATATTGTCGGGCACATAGAGACCTTGTTTATTTGCGCTATAAATGTTATTATTATTATTATTACTATTATTATTATTATTATTATTATTATTATTCGAAAAATAGCTCATCTGTGTTGGTGTTCGAATGTAATAAAAGTTCAAACTTTTGATCACAACACAAACAAATTTCACGGAAAGGAAACTTGTGTTGTGATCAAAAGTTTAAACTTTTATTACATTATTATTATTATTATTATTATTATTATTGTTAATATTGTTATTATTATTATTATTAAAAGAAGAATAGTATAGAGACAACATTCGAAAGGGGATTTATTATCTAACCATTTAAACTTTACATAAGTAATCTTGCATTATTCAATGACATGGTTCATTGACCTTAAAACCTTTGGCTATGTGCTGTAAAAAATGGAAAAATAATAATATTATTGTAGTCAGAAAAGAAGGTATTTAAAGTAAAATGGAATTAAAAATATAATGTAATTGAAATTGTAAATCCGTAAGGTATTTAAGTGTTGTCTTTAGTTCAAACGAGAAATTACAATAACCAGTAATACAATTTTTAAGAAGCTAATTAAGTAATGTAAAATTTAAAGTTTCAAAACAAAAATGTTTTTGGTAATATATACCATTAACATTATGAAACAATGTGTTGTGGATACCGGTTTGACTTTATGAGTCACATGTACGGTGACACAGTGAACACATTGAATGTGTATATAGTCAATACAGAAGGTAACGTTGGTGCTCCTGCGTGGGGAAATAGTAACGATCAAGGAAACATTTGGCGACTTGGAAAACTGGCAGTTGAAACAAAGAGTGCCTTTCAGATAATGTTTGAAGGAATTGTAGGAAGTAGTACTACAGGAGATATTGCTTTAGACGACATCAGGATCATCGATGGGGCATGTTTGAGAAACGGTAAAACACACTTTTATAACTATTATTTTTTCCACTAGCCCTTTTGTCTCATGCTCTCACCATCTACGCCCTATAATAACAGTCTGTGAAAAATAAGGGGGTAACTTAAATAAGTAATTTAAATATATATCCCCCACGGACTTTCTTACAAATGACTGAAATGCTCACACAGAGTGGAGCTGTAGGTAGAAAAGCTAGGAGAGCTTATAGTCTCAACTTCAAAATCATGGGAAACGTAAAAAAGACTTTCCTCACGTTCAAAGATCATAAATATCACCAGCAAAGCAAATGAACTCATCCAACACTGCTGATAAACAACAAACTTCTAAAAAGTAACTAGCTGTAATGTGATAAACTCATACACGAAAACATCACTATGTCATATCATAAAAGAAGAGAAAATAGGCAGCACCCACAAAATTAACAATGCAACTAAATCAATTGCTACAAGGCTTGAAATTGGAACCAAATAGAAACCATTGATGAAGAAAACTATACAACTATAACGAAAACTTTTTACAACTGTAGACTCTTAAACCCATCAAAAATCATAGGCAAGACCATTCTCCACCGGATAAACCATGACTGGCTTACAAAAACACAAATAAAGAAATGGAAAAACACCATTTCTGTCACAGAATGATTTAAACCCATCCAGCACAAACCAAGAAGTCCATATCTTTTAACATTGTGGAACTCTAATTATCTATCACAAATTAGTAACAGACGATATCTCATAGGCTCAAAAGCACACTGGAATCTCTGAAGACAAAGCAGATATTATTTACTCAATATGGACTAAGAAAAATTCAGACGACAACATCAGTACTAAGTTTCAGTTTGCAACTGAGATAATGTATATATCTCTTCTACATCTATTATTTTACTATAATGATCTCAGAAAAGATCAAGAGTTAACTGATGCTAACTGGAGCACAGTACATAAACACAGATCTCCAGTTGCTGGTGATGGTATAACCCCATACTTCTGTTTGGGTACTTCTAGGTGTTTATTGATTTTTATTTTTTTTCATTGTTTCTTTTCTACAATATTGTTGGTGTCATGAATTCCTACTTGACGTATTTCCGAGCGGTATAGAAATGACTAGGAATCCCTCTTTGAC